TTTTTTTTTTTTTTTTTTTAAGAGATCTTAATATTTTATATAAGAAAGGATTATTGAAAAGCCAGAAACATTTGTTGACTATTCTTGAATGGACCTGGAAATGTTCTTGTACGTTCTTTTATACTGTTCTGTATCCATCAGTGAACAGGTGATAAGAGTTACAAATTTCTCTGTTTAGAAGGAGCTTTCATCTCCTGAAGAAAAATGAGAAGTTACTTCGAGAACTCAGAAATTTGGACTCAAGACAATGGTAAATTCTTTTAATGGCCACCTACTTATTTAAGTGTCCTTGTACTTTAGTGGCACTAATCACATAGATATGAGTTGAACTAATTTTAAAAATATTTTTGTAAATTATTCATGTATATTGAAGTTGCATTGGTGTTATTTGGATATTGAAACTCTACAAGTAGAATATCTTGAGATGGAACAAACTTCAAAATAACTTAAAATTATGAACATTTGTGTGCATAACATGGAATAGATTTAAAACTTGTATATATCTAAGTCTCCAAATTGTAAGCTTTGGCTAATGGATTAGCTGCTTTCCAGCGCTGTTAGTATTTGAAGACAGGGAATTATAGTTGGAGCTGTAGCACAGAATTAAAAGCTTTGAATAGTTTTTGTAGAAGTTGAAATAAAATCCAGTGGAGATTTTAGAAGTGTGAGAAGTCACCTTCAGTTCCTACCGTGTCTCACATCAAGCTGTGAACAGAAGACATTGCTGTAGTGGTTAAAGACTTGTCATTCAGCTGCGTAAGATGTATTTGCTGCAGCATTCACAGGGCACTGTTGTTAATGGGCAGCGCAGTGTCGATAATGCCCGTGTTACAGGATTTGCTCATTGGAGAAGCCCAGCTGATTCCATCAGCAATTGGTGCTGCCAGCACCACCCTACACCTCAGAAGTGATGAAAAGGGTAAATGCTTCTTCACGTATAGTAAAACTTTAGGCTCTAGAGAAGTCCAGACTAGAAAAGAGAGAATAGGAATATGGAAATATAGAAGGTATTCAAAAAGAAGCCATAGAGTTGTACTTTACTTCGGCTATCTTTTTTCAATGTTTTAAAGGCCATGCTCTGTGTGTACTGTTTGCACATTTTAGTTTTGTATTAGTAAAGGCACTGTCACGCAGTGACCATCCCCTCTGTTGCAGCCGAGAGACACACAAGATCGCAGTGTTTTATGTTGCTGAGGGACAAGAAGATAAACACTCCATTCTTACTAATACTGGAGGAAGTCAAGCCTATGAGGATTTTGTAGCCGGACTTGGCTGGGAGGTATTTATTAAAACTTTTTTTTTCTAAGTCTGTTTGCGGAGAAAATTATAGATCCCTTCAGATATTCCAAGTCTTTGTCTCTTTAGTATTACTTACAAATACTGAAATACACTGTTTTGCAAGTAGGATATAGAGAGGAATTCTGGTTTAAATTCATTATCAATACTAGCTATTTAATTTTGGGCTCTTTCAATTTAAGAAAGTTTGTGCAGGCAGAGGTTGTTCTTTAATGTGCAGTCCTGTACATGGTTTTAATGGACTGATTAGGAGGCATCTTGATTTGCTTGTAGGCCTGTGAATTGTTAAGTCCATTGAAATTTGAGATTTGCAGTGATTCCCTGCTGCATAAGCATCTGCAGGTTTTCTGTTCCTCTGGCCACTTGTGTTCATCAGGAGTGTCCCCATGAGTGTCTGTCTTGTTCTTTTTCTTACTCCTTAGCTACAGAGCAGCACTACTAGATCAGCAGTGTTGATAATGGATCTGACTTTTCCACAGGAACAGAGGAAAACTGCTAGAAGTTTGCTGACTGTCACAAACATAGATGTCTGTTTCCCACATTCCTGATTCTTCAGGAGAAAAAAAAAACATCACATTAGTGTCTTCAGATATCCTTCTTTAGTGGGTTAATTCTTTTAGCCTTTATTAGCTAGAAGAATTGCTAATTTGGATTAATATTCCATGTTAACATAAAAGCAAATACATCCCATCTGAGTTATAGTTTTCTTTAGGCACTGCTGTAAAAGTGAAATAGCACGTTAAGCATACTTATTTATTTCAATGTCAAAACTATTCCCCATAGAACTAAGACTTACAAACGTATTTATGAATCATCAGTTAGTCTCCTGTGATGATTTTTTTTTTCCATATTCAGAGAATGAAAATTTCTCAGGAAAAGATATGGAAGGTAACAAGACAAATTGAAAGTGTCTTGCTGTCATGCAGGGTTTCTTCAGAGCTCAGATCAGAGCTGATGATCACCGAATTTTAAAAAATGCAAAAAGCACAAGGAAATTACTCCAGTGAACTGATCAGGGAATAGTGCACTAAATATTCATTTGCACAATCTTTCCCTTTCTCACTTTGTCTTCCTGGCAGCGTCTGTGGTGATCTCAGAGTATAGAGTGCCACTGTGCTGCAGTTGATTATTCGCAGTGTAGGCAGCAAATCTGAGCTCTTTTAGGTAAGCACAACTGCACTATTGTGAAAAGAGCCTTCACTTTTAAAAATTCAGTTGAAAATGCATTTTTTTAATACTCTGTGTAAAAAAAAGAAATAAAAAATTAATGCATTTATCACCTGGTTTTATTTTTTTTCTCCTAATGCTTGCTGGGTTTTACTTCTAGGTAAATCTCACAAACCATTGTGGCTTTATGGGAGGACTGCAAAAAAACAAAAGCACTGGATTGACTACTCCATATTTTGCTACCTCGACAGTAGAAGTGATGTTCCATGTGTCAACAAGAATGCCTTCTGATTCAGATGACTCTCTAACAAAAAAGGTAGGTGTTTAATAACAAGTTTTCTTTTGGTAATAAATCCAGAAAAACTAGAGTCGAAGAAAATCAGGTAACTTTTTCTAAAAAAAATAAATAAATATCGCAGTACCTTTATCTGCTAATAGTTGGTATTTTATTGAAGTAGGCTAAGCCATATAAATTATTCTCTCCCAATTTCTAATTTTGCCATACTGGTGATTTTTGCCATCATTGCAAATGTTGGCAGTATCACATGTACAGTGGTGAAAAATGAAGGGAGGTAATGGTTTGTGTAGAAGAAAAAGCATCTGAATGATGTTTTAATACTTTGAGACTTTAAATGCCAATTAATAAATATATGGTGAGTACTTTCTAGGAGGAGGTTTTATTCACTTAAGATTCATGTGCTGTCTATTAACATAATATTTCTTTCCAAAAAAAGTTAAAAATATTAAGAATTCAACAGTGATTATTGTATATAGATGTGCAGATGTGTATATAAGAAGGCAGAAATGCTCAACAGCAATAGAATCTCTCATAGCCACATTAAGGAAAAAATGGTTTTCTGTATTGGTATTTTTTTCTTTAGAATTTAATAAATTCCACATTAGTGATAATAAGTTACAGTCTCAAACATGTGTCCTATTACAAATGAACAATTGGCTATCATTAGACTGTCCCCCGTCCCGCGTACATACATCTTCAGATGTGCTAATCCATTCAGTAGACACGTTAATGAGCACTGGTTGAAGTGTAATATTGGAGGAACTGAAGCTGGTTGACCTCAGCATGGAGTTTAATACTTGTAATTAAATTAGACAGTAGACAGTTAGTAAAGAGAGAAATAGCCATGCCTCTGGCAAGCTTCAATTATTAATGACTTTTTTGTTCTTTGTGTTCAACTTGAAGAAAAAAATATTATTGTTATAATTATAGACTGAATATGAGATCTAACTTCTCACTGTCACATTTTGGTTGGTTTGTTTGGTAGTTTTGGGGGTTTTTTTAATATTAAAAAACGTTTTTTGTGTGCTTATAGTGCTAGATCCTTTCTGTTCTTTATATCCTGAAGTAGAGCCAGGATAACGCTTAGGTTGTTAAATGATTTATAAAAGTTGTTTAATAGCAAAAAGAACGGATTTTAAAATAAGATTGTTGCTATTGTTCTAGTATAGAACACTGTGTGTGCATATATACATATTTTTCTAAGCTGACTGGCTTCTGTATTTTTTGAACAGAAACTTAGTTTTCTAAAACACAGCTTGTAATTATCCTTACAATGTTTGTTTAGAATCTGTTTGTATTAGAGCATTAAGAAGTGTTGACAAGGGGGAAGATAGGTCACAGTGAAAATTAATTAATAATAAATAATTTGTAAATGCTGTGGACTCCAGCAGAACACACAGGCAAGTTCCCATTCCAGGAGCTCCCTGAATCCACATATAGCTGTTCTGTCCAGGCGAGGTTCAGTGCTGGTCCAGGCGTCCTGTGATTTAACGTGTGAAAATGGTGTCAGCTGGACTTTATAACAACTCCAGCTTGCCCCAGGCCAATTTCTGTCCTCCCTTGCCCAAAATCTCGCTCTTCAGTAGGTTGGAATATTTGAGGTCTGTATGGACATGTAGATTGGTGTTCTATTTGTAGCTCAGCTACTGATGGGTTGTTCAATCAAGCTGCTTTATTTCTCTGTGGCTTTCTTTCCTGTTCTTCCTCAGTAGGTGGTTTTTTCCTTCTTCCTAAGCTCAGTTTCCCAACAAATGAAGGCTTGTGAGCCTGCCTTTATATCTCTCCTCCCTTCTCTAACATCTTTTGGCCCGTTTCAATCCAATTACTAGTGACACGTTTCATAGGTGTTATGTTTAATGAAGATAGGCTAAGCAAATGAGGTAGTGTGAGAGAGACTCTTAATGCTCCTGCTCAGCAGGTAAAGAATGCATGGGATGACGCTTTAGACACCAAGGAACCAGCACCAGAGAGATGTGCAATGAAAGTCATCACAAACTTGAGAAAAACATCAACTGAAGTTTGCATCTTGGGAGAAATGAGCAAGTGGTATCAGGAGACAGGAGTAGGAAAACCTGCTTAATTCTTTTCCTAGTTCTGCATCTATTCATGCTGCTTAGACTGAACACATCAGCAAAAGGACTATGTTTTATGAGATGCCGTCCAGCTCACACACACTATAGGGGACCTCAAAATCATTTGAAAGCTCTGTGTGTGCTAACAGTTGTCATTATTATGAGTGCATGCACTGTCCATGACCTCCAGAGAAACTTGAGTTTTGAGCTTCTGCACAGGTCTTTCATGTGCTTTCTTTGTCTGTTTCATTCAGTGGGAGAAAAACAAGCAAACTTGCAGTAGTTGGCTTAGAACTGCTGCTGTTTTTTATATTGTAAATGTGCCTAGAGGTGCATGATAGGTTCATCTTATAAATGGAAATTAAATTAAATTAAAACAAAACTTCTTCCTGCCAGTCCAACCACTGCAAAATCAAGATTCTGCTGTTTCAGAGGCTAAGCCAATTTTAAACTTATTTTCCATCAGTGTTACAGAGTAGTAAATAAAACTTTTAAGTGACTTGGATACCTCTGAAGCATTTATTTCTGAAGACATGAAAAAGAGCAAGGAAAGATGTACATTCAGGGAGAACAGATGGAAATCTTCTGAATGCGTAAAGGAACTTTACGTTGAAATGCTCATATAAAATAGGTATTTAATTTGCAAATAGTAAATTAAAGATTTAATGTTCATAATGCAATCTATTTTGTTTTTCTTAGAATTAAAGATTAGAGTAAAAAGTATTTGCACTACCCTTACAAGAACAAACTTGCAAAGAAAATATCAGGATTAAATGAAACTGTGAAGACTCTCAGTTCAGAGTGAGAAAGCTCATGTATGTTCCTCTACAGCTACATCTGTCCAGTTCCTCGTCCTTTAGCCTGATAAGGGAGTGAAGGCATTGTAGGGGAGAAAATTATACATAAATAAGAAGTAGTAATGTTATTAATGATGAGAATACTAATTCATTGTGGACTTTGGTTGTATTACATTTTTCTAGATTGTGTGTCGTGGTCCTGACCACATAGATCATCTATAGCTAGTTTTTTTTTATTGTGATATTAACTTGTATTGGGAGCTTGAGGGTTCATGGATGTAAATTATTTGTAGAATTTTTGGGGGGACTTACAGTTAAGTACACTTGTTGCTTTAAAAAACCGCAACTCAACACACCTTAGTTGTTGAAACAAAGTTTTGTGCAAAATTCAACCAAAGTGTATATACACTGTAGACAGCAATGCTGCTTACATTTAATCGGCCAAAGTAGTTCAGTAAGCCATTGTTTCAGATGTTTCTGCTCCTTTTGTTCTTTTTATAATGAACATTTTCATTTTTGAGGAAGAAAAAAGTTGAGGCTAGCCGTTGTGTCATAAGAAAATATAATAGCCTTTTTTCTCCCTCCTTTAGGTAAGTGGGTATTAGAAATTACAGTAATTTTGGCAAGAGTTCAAGGGTTAATGCAACAGATAAATAAAAGGAATTTTCTGTAAATTGAGCCCTGCATTATTTCACTTGTCTTGCCTTTCCAAACCTAACTCATTTAATTTTAAAAAGTAAATACTTAAATTCTTCCTGACAGTGTGCTTTGCTTTTACTATCGTTTATTACTTCAATTATACTTGGTATCACTTAGAACAATCTGCCATTTGGAAATTTCAGTATAGCCTGCAGCTTAGTATTAAGTCTGGCTGCTATTGTAACATGTACAGCATATGACACTAATGTATCAAAATTAGATTTGATCATCCCTCCTGGTTATATTTATTTCACGTTTCTTTTGTATTCAGTTAACATAAATGTATTAGGAGAGCTGACACATGATGATGGCTATAGAGTAAGAATATTTTAAAGTATTTTGAGTTAAATTTGAAATTTCAGGTAACCTAACAGTAGGTCATTTTTATATATTTGTTTTAATGGAGTAGAGTTTCAAAGCGAGCCTAAAAAAATCTGTTTGTCTCTGACATCTCCTCAGGGCTGTGTTCCCGACAGCTCAGGTTCAAAATGGCTAAAACAGAGCTCTTAATCTCTTTCTCATTGCCACCTTTCTGGATCACCATGGATAACGTGAACATTGTGCCTGTCACTTGTGCCCATAGCCTGAAATCATCTTTAATTTGGTCCATTTATGGGATTCTTACATTCAGTCTGTGCTTAAGACTCTGTTCTTTTTTCTGAATAATGTTTCTTACAACATAGCCTTTCCATACACACAGTTAAAATATATCCACTATATCTTAAACTGTTGTTTTGATTGCTGAACCTTCCTCCTTCCTTTCTCTGGTTTTCATTCCTGAAGAATGCTGCTATCAAAGTCATTTTTCTAATATTTAACACCTTTTTACAGTTTCTTTGCATTTGTCCATCTTCATTTTGTGTCTTGTCTTATGCTTAGATAATAAACTCTAGAGCAGTTTTATCTGCATTTATGCAGTATTTAGCATTTTAGAATATTGGTATGTAATCTGTAGTTCCAGGTGTTTCAGCTATAGTGTATTAATGGCTACTTGAAGTATAACATTATTTTAGAGATTTTCATTATTTATATTATTGCTGTGCCCTACTTCTCTAATAAGGATTTGCACTATGTTTTGCTGACTGTGATTTATGCACAGAGTTGTAAATTTAGGAAGACAAGGTCAGGAAATGACTGTGAAGATATAATTGACTTACACAAGTGGTGGTGAGTTTCGAGTAACCATTAACACAGATTTCAGTCTTGGTACCTGTACGTTCTGTGTGCCCCAATCTGATTCTGTTAGATAACCTTGGGACCACATCACCTTCTTGGGAAGACATGTTGCTGCCTGGCCTTTAGGTTTCAGTGAGCAGAGGTGGCTGTAGCTCAGTATCTTTGTACCGCTTGTGTCCAGGACACTGAATTCTGTTCTGCTTCCCATTCAATACAAAGACATAAAGAATTCAGATTGGAGTTGAAAGAGGTCAGGCTCTGGCTCTCCTGTGCTGTAATAATTCCAGTGAATGATGGATTCTCCACACGTTTGCTGAGCTTGCAGAAGAGCTTTGTTGTGCTCAATTTCAAGGTCCTTTG